TAGTAGCAGAATGCTGGACATATGGCTGTGGTCAGTGTTCAGGATGGCCCACCTAACTGCAAGCTACAGAGGGAAGGTGTACATTTACACGGGGAACCAAGAGTTAACTGGAGAACAGCTGTTGTGCAAGTGTATATGGTGTACGTTCATCTCTAAGAGTAGAGGCCCGTCTTAAGGTCGAGTATTCCCTGGTGGCAACCTCAGCCTTGTCCTAGGGCATTGATGAAAACAGCATAAGAGTAAAGGTACCCCCTATGTTTGAGTGATCCTGTTACAGGTGCCTTGTGTAGCCCAGATGAACCCACCCCAGGGGCAGTCCTAGCATGTAACCCAGACTTGGCGCCCAACAAGTTATTGGGGAACATGGAGGAAGGTCTGTTTTCTGCTACCCCCCCGCCCTATGGCCGACATACAGGCAGAAGCAGTCATCCCCAGGCCATTAGTTCTCAAGGAAACAGTTGATAAAGAAAGGTTAAATTTTTTAGTTAATTTGGTTTAGGTTTCTGTTTGAAAGTGGTCCACACTTTCCTCCAGTGTTTGGAATCCAACCACTATGTAATGCCTTCTGTGGCTCAGTTTGCAGAGCAATGATCAAGATGTTATAATACATAAAGGCATGCAAAGACAGCAATACTCACCCGATAACAACAGGGCAGTTCACTGGCAAGCAACGTAGCCAGTTCTGTCCGATTCAGTTTTAAATTGTCTCCCTCCTCGGCTGAGTATTTGTGAAAAACACCCAGGAGATTGTACACTGCAGATTCTACCGCGGCCATGGTTCAAATTCAATTCATCGCCCTTTACTGAATGTCTATGTAACTGAGCAGCTTGACGGACACCAATAGCTGTCAGAACTAATATGTCTTCTGGTCACGCCTATTGTCACCTTATAACAAGGAGACAGCTGGAGGCTACAGGGTGAAATTACTTGATTATTAATGTATATGTGACACTGCCTGCAGTCCTACAAAAGACCTGGCTGTGGGCCTCAAGTTTCAAAACCTCATTAGATATCAGCACAATAAGTAATGTAGGTCAGATAGCAAAAGTATCCCAAAAGTATGAAAACATACCCTTGTCCAGGGACATTAACAGTTCCACCATCAGGTGAATGCTGTAGAACTGGTCACATGGTATCTGCTAAGGGGGCTTTTGGGGACTGATGATAAGACAGAGCTGGCCAATCAGTGTTTCTGTCTGAACATTGATCCTCTGTTTCTGCAAAGACCATGTGACCAGTACCATGGCTTTACTTACTGACTGGGCACGTAGCCTCCCTGGCGGTATTCCCGAGTGTAGCTCGGGGTAAAGTTTCAGTACCACAAGCGGTAACCCCGAGCTACACTCGGGCTTACCATGCGGCGTTGCTCCAGGATCTGTTCTTCTCTTACCTTGTCCTCCACTCCCGTGGTGTCCCTCCTGCAGTGTCCCCTGTAATGTCCTCCGGCGGATGCCGGCATCTGTCTTCTGGGTTCCGTCCCCTGCGACATCGGGACGTACGGGGACAGAACAGCGGGAAATTTGAAAATGACAAAAAGTGACATTCACTAAATTCACTAAAATCACGTAGTATAACATTACTGTATCAAACCATTTCACATACATTTTGTCCCGAGTGCTTTGTCCTGTGCCCTGCCTGCATTTTTACTGTTCTTTCTCCTGGAAACTGAGAAATGTCCATGGCGTCCAAAAAGCGTCCTTTTAGGTCAAAATCAGTTTTAGACCAGCTAGAAAACAGCGATAGTAAATTAGAACCACTTGCAGAATTGAGTGATGATTCGTGGGGAAATTCATCATCAGACACTGAAAAACGATTCTGCGACTTTGCTCAGTGATGTGCGAACTTGGCGCTATATTTCAAATTTCAGTGTTTTTGGTTTTATTATATTATTCAATTAAATTTATTCTTATTATATTATTATTTTTTATGATTAGTTATTAAATTATGATTTATGATTTCATTTTTCAAATTTTAACATACCCGGGATGTTTACTAGGCTCTTGTTCGGACAGATTTCAGTGAGTAATCCCTAAAAATTACAGGCCTACAATAAAAAAAATACATATTTCCATGCAAAAAAATGTACCGCTTTGAGCATAAAAATATGGACATAATCAGACCGCTAGGGAGGTTAAAGAGTTTGCAAAGGTAAAGGTCATCTATCCATGATGATTAACATGATCATATAGCATAAATGCACATGTTCCAAAGAAGTATGAAGACTTTCATTGCTGATCTCACTTTTTGAAAATGCCAGTTCCCCGGCTGTAATGCTGATCCAGTGAGTAAAGTAAAAGTACTTTTTGAGTCAGTGACAAACTGAATAACCAGAGAAGAACCTAGTACTGAGAGAGCCTTGAGGTGCATCACTAGTACCTTGACTCTGTTCCAAATGTACCCTCTTTACAACTACACTTGTATCCTTTAGCTAACTGCGTATCTACTAAACCATCAAGAAATCATAGCTAATACAGCTTTTTTTTTTATCAGATCAGCTATGTTAACAGTGCCACCCTCATCCAAAACATATGTGATATAGAAAAAATCAGAGCCCATTCAGATATAAGTAGTCCACTGCTGTGCGTTACGTGTTATGTGTTAGGTTGCGTTAAGGCAACTCTGGGAGATGAAACAAATCCAAACTTCGCTATTTCTGTAATGCAGGGCACATGTGTTTTGGTGTGCTATAGAGGAAGTGTGTTGGCAGCTACTGCATTTGTGAGTCAGGGTCCCATTCTAAATAATGGCACTGCAACTCCCATGTCTGCATGCATGTGTAACGCATGATAAAATATGCAGGTGTGATACCAGCCTTAATCAGATTAGCCTAACTTTCTGGGGCTTCATTTGAAAGATCATTAGAGTCTTCGGTTTTGCCCACTTGCTGTAGCAAGGGGATCCTACTCCCCCAAAAGGATTTTTTTGCATGTTATATAAAAGATGCAGAGGGGTATGATTCCACCTGGAAGAAAGCCAGAAACTAGAATGGGGAATCTCACCACTAGAGTACTTCAGAAATGAAAGGAGCCACTATGTGATTGAAATCACTGGCAACTGCAAAACTCATTTCATGTACGTGATTGCATATTCTTTGCAAAATTAGTTTTCAAATTGTTTCCTCTTATTCACTAAGAGAATTGAAAATTAAAGTGGACCTTTACTCACTCAATCAACATTGACTATTTTAATCCTTATGCTGCTAGCATTAGAAAATAAATAGGAAGGTATATCCTATTTTCTTGTTTTTACATTTATTTTAAAATTTCTTCAGTTACTTTCTGGTTTCCATGCCTAGGAAAGTAATGTCATACATCCCAGCGGTCTTCAGGAGGAGAGGGAGGGTTCTTAACTCAGCCGATACCTGAGCTAAGGGCAGATAGATTCCAGGAAGTAATTGCTACATGAATCATCTGCCCTTACTCAAGATGGCTACTGCCAGAAATGCTTTTTCTCAGCAAAATAAAGCATGGATGTATGGGTGAGTTTGCTTTGAATGTTAATAATGAACTATATATTCCCTCAATTCCCTCATGTTTTGCATTGTATTGGTATTGTTATGTCCCCCTTTGTAATGTACAGCGCTGAGCGAACTATTGGCACTTTATAAATACTGTATAATAATAATAATAATAATATATCATTTTTGGTTTGTTGTGCTCTGATACATTGCAGTTCCACTTTGCAAAGTGAAAATGTTCCCTTAGTAAATCAGCCCCACTATTTTGCTGTATGTCTTACTTTGCCTCAGTGCAACATTGTGTTGAAGCAACTCTGTTTCCAGATTAAACATTAAAAATGCTTCCTGCAATTGAACAAGTTAATCACCAGTGCAATTTTTGTAACGTATTTTATTTATGTTATCAATTAGGAAGGTTGATGATTGTGTTGTTGGCAACTGTAACAACCTCTAAAACAGAAGTTGCTAACATTTTTACAATTAAAGACCTCCAATGGATTCCCCAATAAATACAGTATGTCCCCATACCTTTTTCCCCAGACTATCAAAATTATCATCATCACCAGAAAAATCATAAGGATTTATTTATATTAAAACAACAAATCACAAATACACAAGCTGTCTTCTACTAATGAGATTTTTGCAGTTGTTTTGTGCCATCAATATATGGAATGGAGGTCAATTACTCACATGCCATCAATAATGCATAGAATCTTGATTTAATCTTTTTAAACTTATTCAGAGATCCAGGCCTATAATTCTATCATTTGGTGTTCATACCCCCAAGTGGTATAGATACCTCTGGATCTAGAGGTTAGCACCTACAACTATAGTGCAGCATATAAGACATGTAAAATGTGAATATAGTTTAAAAATAACTTTCAGGTATAATATATTCCAAATCTGTACTTTCTAACACTGCATTAAAGATTTCCTTTAAAGCAAATCAGTCATAAATGTTAAATCTCCAGAGACTAATACCCTGGAAAACAAAGGTATACATATATTTCATGGTACCTACAGTACAGAACATCAGTCTATTCCATTGGAACTATCCACCAAAGTCAACTGGAAAACCAATACTTTCAGAAGTGTTGGTTTCCTTGATCCCAGGAAGCTCTCACTGAAGCTATCACTAAAGTAGATAGTAGAGGCATGAGGTCACCAGAAGATACCAATGAGAGCTGTGAGGAAGCTAGGAAATTGTTACTCAGGGAAATGTGAGAGTTTCTCAGTGGCTTATGGGTACCATTATTACAGGAAATGTAAGTATTCATAGCATTCTTCTGCAGGGTATTTGTTTTGGAAGATTTAAAACTTATGTCGGGGTTGCTTTAAATGACATCTCAACCACAATTAAGATTATGAATTTCTTGACCCAAAAAGAGGTTATGTTCAAGGATTCTTCCCTGGGACTCAAGTTATAGGAAAAATAATGATACATGGAGTAGATCTTTTTATGGAATGAGAATGAAAAAAACTCAGACAAAGGGATTTCATTTTGCTGTTAGTAACTCAATATGAGCCATAGACTAATACATTTTATTTGGTGCTCTTAGTTTGTCTGATTTCCAGGAAGAGGTCAGACATCAACGACACACTCAACAGCAACACCACAAAGTCTTCAAAGCTCATAAGTTCCTCGCTATCTTTTTCCAAGTCTTCCATTAGTTCTTTGTACTTCGGTTTTGTATCTTGACCCTGCAATGAAAACGGAGCAGCTGTTGTAATTAAAATGAACATAATGTAATAATATGATTTTTTTTTCCTTTCTTTATTATGCTCAGAACAAAAATAAACATTTTTAAACCTATTTTTGATTGTTTTGGTCAAGTAATTTATTGCATATGGATATTTTGTGTGTTTATGTTCAGCTGCTCTGTCGAAAAAGGCTGATGTTTACTCATTTCAATAGATCAAGCTGAAGGTGGCAAACACAAAGAAATGCTTTAGAGCAGAAACTCTACTCTGCCTTTCCCTGCCTAAACCTTTCAGATATGGCAGTAGGATTTTTTACTCAGAAAGAAAAAGTCTGAAGGCACAGAACTTCTGCAGTGGTCTTTTTTGACACTGTGATGCTAATGCCCTGGATGCACCATGCATTACATTTCTATTTCTAAAAAAAAAAGGAATACCCATAAAAACAAATATAGCACATCACTTTAACAATGTATCAATTTAACATTTTTAAATAGCATTTACTTTAAACCATTAGGCCTCATGTACATTGCTGCTCCTAAACTTACATATTTGGGGCTTTTGGCATTGTGTGTCTAAGCTACTGAAAGCACTTCAATAAAAGGCCTATAGGCCTATAGGCTTAGTTTAGGAGCAGCAGTACTTAGAGCAGGGGCGGACTGACAACTCATGGGGCCTCCGGGCAATAGGGGATCATGGGGCCCCTGTGTCCTTGCCCAAACTCAAAAAAGCCTATGAAAAAGGTACCAGGGGCATCTCATGGGGCCCCCTACTGACCCCGGGCCCTCAGGCCCTGACTTAGAGGCAGTGAAAGCTCCTTCTCCTGAATGCAGAAGAATCACATTCAGGGGAGAAGCTTTTGGGCATAAAAAACACCAAGCGTGGCTAAACGCGCCTAAGTGCTAAGCATGTTTAGAGCTTCAGCGTTTATTCATTTCAATGGCCAGAATAGATTAAAATTCCGGCTAATGAAATAAATAAATGCCCAGATTCCACATGTGCCTGAATACCACTAAAAGTGCCTAAACGCATTTGCAAAAATTTGGCTTAGGTACGTTTTTAACACTGATTTTCTCAGTAAGGAGTAACAGCATTTACAATATACCAGGGTGCATGAGGCCTTAGAGTTTCCCTTAAAGCTTTGGTTTATTGAAAAAAAAAAAACCTGCAGTAGGGATATTTCTTTACTATCAATGTGATTTATCCCTTGTGCTGCTGTCTCCTGGTTTAGTAGATATCTTCCACCTCAAATTCCTCCCATGTCTGCCACCATAATCTTTTGGTTAGGTGGGGATAAATAGAAATGAGAGAGCTGTGACGGGCACTCATCAAGAGTGCCGACTATGCTCACCCTTTTTGCCCCTGTTCTCCATTCAAAGAAGATGTGCCGTTGCTTCTACGAATGAAAAGCAATCGAAAGAACAGAGAATGGCCAGAAGATTGAAAGGGCCACCTCTTCAATTCATGGATGAAGAAGATTTCTATTAAACCAAGTGACAGCAGCATAAGGGACACATAACATTGACAGTAAGAAACAACCCTTGTGATATTTTCTTTTCTTTTTTTTTTTACAAAATTTAGACTTAAAAATAATTTTTACCTATCTTATAAGTGTAAAATTCTAATGCAAACCTATATTGTAAACATACTGATATCTTTGTAGCAATACCCCGTTAAGGGTTGCTTAGTAATTTTCAATTATCCTGTTAATCTGGACCTCTCTTTGAAAGCCCAACCTCCGCTGACACCACCGTACTCCTAGTGTAAACCAATATAAAATTTATATGGAATTTGAACATAGCTTGATCAAAAAGCACAAAATAGCATTGGCATATGCAGCAGATATAATCACTCTTGTCAACTTTAAATAAAGGTAACAGCATCCACAGTAAAGTACCACAAATTGTTAGCAGGGCTGCTTTCAGATATAGTCCACTGCCTCCAATCTGAGGTGACTGTTGAATTCCCAGAAAGCAAAAACAACTATCAATAAACAGGTAGGCTATTTATCTTCCAGATGCACTGCTCTTTAGTAAAGTTCTGCAATTCAGCATACATGTTCCATATGGCTGGTCTTCAACCTGTGATTGCTACTGTTCTGCAGGACACTGCCACCTTGCGTTGACTTCAACATCCTGCATTAGACATTTATAGCAGGATGTTACACACTCTCCCCACTCAAAGTCTTTGGTCCCCCAAAGAACAAGGGAAACAAACTGGCAACTATTGGCATAACATATTTACATTTGATAAAGAAATGATCCTCATTAATCAGGAGGAACGATTGGCAAGCATGCATTGTTAAATAACTGCTGTAATATTGACTCCTACTCAGGTTAGGAGACTCTGATTGTTCAAGAAATAAATGAATAACTGTAAAAACCTCCTCAGGGATGGTGTTAGCAGAGGGGCTCAGATTTGCTCCAACAAGCTGTAAATGGGATCTTCTGGAATTTTTTGGCTGGAATGGAAGGCTTCTTCATAGCTCTCTCCCAACATGTCATCAGTCAGCCTTTTAGGTGCTTTTATCTCTCCTCTCTCTCTGAGCTCCTCCTGAGGGGAGACATTTTCTCCTTCTTCCATAGTATCATCCTCCCCTGAGTTTATGAGTTCCACAGCCTGTTCATTTGCAGACCTTGTTTGAGAACCCCTTGGATAATCAATTTCAAGTTCAGGAAGGAAGAGGTCTGTAATGTTGAAGTATGGTGAAGTAGTAGACTCAGCAAGTCCTGCAGGGATTGTTTTTGCAGAAGAGGGAATCTCTGACTGGAAACTGGTCGATGGGGCAGTTGAACTGGAGGCAGGGGTGAGTGCCAGGAGACTGTCTTTTATAGCAGATAGGAGTGGTCGCCAGTCTATAACAATTTCTACCCCCTCTTCCTCATCTCTTCCCTCCTCATCTGGAGCTGGGATAGGCTGAGAAGGAGATGGGGGAAGCTGAATGGCCAATTCCATGCAATAGAAAGATCACTTGTTGATTTTGGGACCCGCAGAGTGTCAGATAAAGGCAAGAGATCATTACGGTGCCAGGATTTACCTGGGCCTTTCTTCCCCTCTGGGCAGAACTGATAGAAAGGTAGATCTGGTAACTTGTAACAAATGATAAATGGTTGAGATTTCCAGCGAGCTGCAAGTTTATATTTCCCTAGAATCCCAAGGTTTCTTAATAATACTCGGTCTCTGGGTAGCTTCATCTTGAAATCATAACTTTGTTTATTCCTCTGGCCTGCAGATTGGGAGACCCCCTGGCTTCCTTATAAGTGGTCTCCAACTGATATTTAAGTCTCTCTACATACCCCTGATTTGATGAGGGGGCAAGTGATCAGGAGCGGTGCCAAAGGCCAAGTCCACGGGCAACTTAGCCTCTCACCCAAACATCAGATGATAGGAGGAGAAGCCTGTGGCAGCAGTCTCAGTGGTATTATAAGTGTGCACTACTGTGGCAAAGTGTTGACTACACTGTTGCTTCTTGTCCAATGGCAGGGTGCCCAATATGTTCAGAAGTATCCTATTGAATCATTCTGGTTGAGGATCACCTTGAGGGTGATAAGGAGCAGTTTTGGACTTCTTGATCCCTAGAAAGGTCAGCAGTTTCTTAATCAGCTTGCTTTCAAAGTCTCTACCCTGATCTGAGTGGATTCTCTGTGGAAGCATATAATGTAAAAAAGAACTTCTCTACTAACACTTTAGCCACAGCCGATGCTTGCTGATTTTTCATGGGGAATGCCTGAGCATACCTAGTGAAATTATCTGTCATTACTAAGACATTCCCATGTCTGCTAGAATCAGGTTCCAGATACAGGAAATCAATACACACCAGCTCCATTGGTCCTTGGCTCGGAACGTGGCCCAAAGGAGCAGCTTGTTTAGGTAATGTCTTCATTTGTATACAGCTTAGGCAGGTACGGCAGTACTCCTCCAAGGTTCTTCCAAACACTATTATGTCATCTAGGTAAACCAGTACCTCGATTAGATTCATATCCCCCAAAGTACACTTCATCAACCTCTGGAAAGTGGTAGGCATCCCGGATAGACCTTGGGGCATGCGGTCGAATTTAAAGAACCCTAGTGGGATGATGAAAGCAGTTTTCTCTTTATATTCAGGGTGCATAGGGACTTGGTAGTATCCAGTCTTCAAATCCAGGACATTGAACCATTTGGCTCCTGACAGACACTGCAAAGCATCTTCAAACTGGGAGGTTGTATATTGATCTGGGTTAGTCTACTTATTCAGGGTTCTATAGTCGGTACGCATCCGCAAGGAACCATTCTTCTTGCGGACCTCTACAATAGGAGAGGCATAGGGACTCCTTGATTCCAGAGTAATTCTGGCCCTCTTCAGCTTGACCAACTGCTCTCTGAGATCCTCCAAGTCCCCCATCGGGACTTGTCTAGCCTGCTCTTAAAATGACTTGTCTTCCTTGAGTCAAATCTGATGTTGAGCACTCTCGGGGCACCCAACATCGCAATCATTCCTGGAAAATACTATCTCCCAGCTTGTCAATCCATCTCTGACTTTCTTCTTTCACTCCTCTGACAGAGGAGACTCTTGAAGGCCACACTCTCTTCCAACAAAGTCATCTGGTGTGTCAGGTGTACTGACTATGTTAGCAATGACACAGTAGAGGGGAATAGGTTGAAGTTCAGTGGTTTCTTGTTTCACATGAGTTTACTTAGCACTGATTTCAAGCTAAATGAGTCACACAGAACTGCAGTGGGATTGTTGGAATGAAGGAACCCATGATGATACATGAGCTTGAAGGTTTCTCCCATACACACAGTGTTGTACTTTGTCTACAGAAATTCACTGAGATTCAAGCTGCAGTTTGGTATGACAGGTGCCCTTGCTGTAATCTGACCTGTGGTTAGACTGTTGCTGGCTGGGGCAAATTATTGTTCCACAGGGCGTATCATAAACTCGTCTCCACAGGGTGCAATAGGGTAGTAGCATGCACGGAATGCAAATATAGCGGTATCTTTTAATTCAATAGCAAAATGCTAAA